CTGCCATTAGGCTGCAGAAGCAGAAGGGGGGAGGGGGCGGGGAGGAAGGCAGGAGGAAGGTTGCTTTGGAGGAGAGGGCAGAGGTGGAGAAAGGGCTAGAAGGCTGTGGGCAGGCTCCGGCATCTCACACTATTTTGCTTCTAGGCTTCTTAATTAGGAGGCAGGCTGTAAACAACTTCAGAACACTCCTGAATTTATAAGGCAATTAGCATAAGCTTTGAAAAATGTGCCATTTATAGCAAGCGCTCTCTAAAAAGAGAATGTTGTTGTCAAAAATAAAACTGAAAGCAAGCTAAGGATACATACATCTTTGAGTTGAGTGTATGCTGTGTGCTGAGTGGTACACACCAGTTTCCAGACAACCTCTGGACCAAGAACTGGCGGCTCTGATCCCTTAGACACGCCAGCATGCGAGAACCACGGAACTCACATCCTCAGAGGCCTGAGGAGTCAAGTGGTCCATGGATCAGACTGACACACATATTTTTAAGGCTTGTATTTAAGGACAAACTGGGGCTCAGAGAAGTTGAGAGAGTCACCCAAGGCCACACAGCTGCGAGTTCCAGAGCCAAGAGCACACCTCTGATCCCCTACCCGCCGGAGCCCTCTCCATTGAAACACATGAAGGCTCTCCTGCCCACCCCTTCAAGCTGATGTGATGGGTGGAGGTTATGACTCTTAGGGAATAATGGGGGAAATGTAATTTTAGATTGGGGCAGGGTCTCAGGGGTCACAGGACACTCCCTTTGCCTGTGAACTGAAGATCGTCTCAAAGAGGCTGGACAGCCTGTCCAAAGTTACTCAGGAACTGGTGACACAGCCGAGCCTGGAGCCTCCTAATCATCGCCCAGGGAACTCGCTCCTCTCACAGCTCCCTCAGGGGCCCAGGGGCATCTCAGGTGAAACCACAGCCAGAAAAGTGGCCTCAGGGCACCTCCAGTGCTCAGAAAGGGTTCAATTAAATCCACACGGGAGTTCCAGCCCTCACTGGGGTCACACCTGTGTAAGTTACCGGTTTACTGGCGTGGGTTGGATGGTGGCCCCCCAAAAGATATGTCCACGTCACATGTTTAAAACCTGTGAATGTTTGGAAACAGGGTCCTTGCAGATGGAATTACATTAAGGATCTTGAGCAGCTCATCCTGGAAGGTCTGGGTGAGACCTAAATCCAATGACAAGTGTCCCTAGAGGATGGGGTTACGCAGCCGAGGCCACCAGAAGCTAGAGGATGGAAGGAAGCATGCTCCTTCAGAGCCTTTGGAGGGAGCATTAGCCTGCCACCTCCTCGGCTTTGCACAGTTCTGGCCTCCAGAGCTATGGAAGGATAACTTTCTGATGTTTTAAGAGCAGACACAAGAAAGTAACGCATTTTCAATCTCTATGCAAAAATCAGTCAGGAAAACAAAAACCTTAAGGATCACAGAACGGATGAGCAAAATGCGGTACACCCATGCAATGGAATAGTACTTGGCCTTAGAAGCAGGAAGGAGATGTTGACAAGTACTACAACATGGATAAACTTTGAGGACATAGTGAAATAATGCAACCACATACACACAAAAAAAATCCCCCAAACAAAAACAAATACTGTATGTTTCCACTCATATACAATACTTAGAGTAGTCCACTTCACGGAGACAGAAGCAGAATGGCCATCGCCAGCGGCTGAGGGGAGAGGGGAGTGGGCAGTTAATCAGCGACCACAAAGGTTCATGTTCACAAGAGGTGGAAGTCCGTGGGGGCGATGGCGGTGATGGGCATACAACGTGATGAATGCCTTTAAAACACTGACCTGTGCACTGAAAATGGTTAGCGGTACATTTTATGTTATGTGTATTTTACCACATTAACAAAATTTGGGGAAAATAAAAACAAAAAGGAAGAATCACAGTGTTTACAATAAGTCCACCACTATAATGTCTGGCTAACTGCAGGGTTAGTGAATAAAAGGTAGTGAGAGGTGGGGCCCCAGTGTCACCAGTCCTGACTGTGTGGGTAACCGAGCCACACTGGCCCACGAGCCGGCACGACCTGTCCGTGTGCTGCCCACGCAGGGTGTTCTTCTAGATCCCACACCCACCTGAGGAGGGCAGCACACCCACTGGGCGGAGCTCCAGCCTACCCGGCCCCCCACAGCAAATGGGTCCTGCAGCCCCTGAAGGCAGCCCGTGGAGAGCGTCCAAGCCTTCACTCCTGCAAACGGCCCCCGGTGAGCCCTGAAGCCAAGGCAGCGAGGGGCCCTGGCAGCCGCGGAAAACACAGCAACTCTCGGGCCCCCCCAAAGCAAGCAGATGTTTCTTTAAAACGGCATATTCTTGGCTCTAGTTTCGTTTTAGATATTCCCTCCCAAAGCTGCTGAAGGAAATCTGAAGGTGACCAGCACCCGCGGCCCCAGCCCTCTGCCTCCCCCGCTCACTGTGGCACCATAGTCCCACACGTGGACTGAGGGGACGGCTGTCTCGCTCCGCGCCTCCTGCAGGCACGGCTGTCTCCAGTCCGGGGGCCGTGTCCAGTACCATCCTGCCTCCCTTCCTGCAGCCCAACATCTGGGGAATGGCTCTGATGGTTTCCTGATATTGTGTTAAGATGAAATTTCCCCTGCTCCCAACTCAGCAGGTTCACTTCAGTCCTAGGTGGCAGATCAGCCTTGGGGATGCTCTCGGCCCCCTTTAGCCTCCTGCTTGAGGGGACCGTGTGGAGGCTCCGTGGCAGATGAGGGACACACTCAGGGGACAGGCAGGGAGCCCCCGCCACTGAGCCTTCAATCTTGTGATATGACTGCCGGACTTCAAGCTGCCCTTTGGGTGGGTCACGTACATTTTCCCCAGTAGCTTTCCCGGCCATGTGCTTCACCCTGGGCCAAAACCCGGGCCTGATGCACACCCAGGCTGCCGATGAAGCTTTATCAGAAGGTCACAAAGACTCTGCCCCCACCCCAGCGGTGCGTGTGAGGCCTGGGGTCCTCTTCTCAGGTCTCACTGCAGCCAAGCCCACCGCTGCTCACGTCCAGCGCTCTGCACGCACGTCCTAACTGGCTGCCCTGTCTCCACTCTCATCCCTTCTCCGTCCGTTAAAAACAAAATTAGTGGTAAAATTCCCATAACACAAAATTATCCATTTTAAGGGGAACAATTTATGGCATTTAGGATATTCACAATCTGTGCATCCACCACCTCCATCTAGTTCCGAAATACTTTCATCACCTCAATTGGGTATCAATAAACGATGCCTCCCCATGTCCCCTCCCCCATCTCTAGACGACCACCAATCAGCTTTCCGTCTCTATGGATTTCTATTTCCTCTTAATGGGATCGTACAGTATGAGGCCTTTTATGACTAGCTTCTCCCACTTAGCATGTTTTTAAGATTCATCCTTGCGGTAGCCTGGGTCAGAATACCTTCCTATTAATATTCTGTTGTTTGTACATGTGATGCTACATTGTGTTCATCCATTCATCCACAGACATCCGGGTTGTTTCCACCTGGCGGCTGTGAATGAGCTGCTCTGACCACGGGTGTACTTGTATTTGAGTACAACCATCCATTCTTCAGACAAAAATCTGAGCCCACCGCATGAAGCTCCCGCTAGCTTCCCACTCCCCTTAGGATAGAGCCCGCACTCCTGAACGGGACCTCCGGGGTCCTCACGCGGCCCTGCCCTGCTCCTCACACCTGCATGCCCACCCGCTGGACTTTTTCCTTCTTGCATGTGCTGTGCTTGCTTGCCTTCACCTCTGAGCCTCTGCAGAGGCTGCTCCCCGTTCCTGGCACACCCGCCCCCTGGGTAAGAGGCAGCTGTATTGACAACCCCCGTCTCCCAAATCCAAGTCGCTGCACTAGCTCCCAGCTCAGAGCCAGCGCTGGCCCGTCCGTGTTTTACAGGCCGAAGGCATCTCAGAGCTTGCTGTGGGGTGGGGAAGGCCACGTTGGGCCTTGCTGTGAAATCCCACGGAACCTGCGCAGAGACACCCCGGGGGCCTCTCGGATTTATGTCCCGTGTCTCTGAAACTTGCCTTGCAGGAAAGTGCAAATGTGGGTTCAGAGCCCTGGTGTCTACCCCAGAGATGTGACAAGCTGCAGGACCAGTGGGTCGCCTTCCCAGCTGCTGGGTGTCCCGACCCATCTCTGCTCAGTATGCATTTTCCATCCCGAGAGGCAGCCCAGTGCTGGGGCCATCTTTGCCTGTTCCATCAGCGTTGGTCAACAGCGCAGGGGCCTGGGAGATGTGAGGCAGTGACTCTCTCTCTGAACCCTGGTCCAATAATTCCTCAGATAGCCTTGCACTCAAGAGGAGCCTGGCTCAGCCCAGAGCCAGAGGCTGGTGGGGCCATGCTGAGAAAGCAGGAACTGAGCTCACTGGCGTGAGCCAGTCATACCTGAACTTGACTGGCTTCAGCTCAGCCTGGGCCTGGGCCACAGGGTGTTCTGGGCCACACAGGATGTGGATTTCTCAGGGCGGAGAAGTCCCCGCCTTCACCTGGCACCACCCTTTCTTTTCTTAGCTTGTGTTCTAAGCCTCTGCTCCCTGAGACTGTACACACTCACATGTGCACAGGGACGTGCAAGAGCACACACATCACACAGTCTCGAGTATACACGCACCTGTGCTCTCCTGCACGCACACATGGGAGTACTCATGTGCACACGTGTACTTCTGTGCACATGAAGGCATGTGGCTCTAACATGCTCTTCATTTCTCCTTTTGTGACTTCTAAACACAGTCTAATATAACCCTTCCCTTCCACGTAATTCCTAAGAACCCCATTATTATTCTTTCTTTTCCCTTCAAATTGTCCACCATTCTAATTTCCACACGCACTGTCAGCAGAAACTGCCTGTGAAGACAGCGCAACGCGTTAATTTTCTCCAAGAGATCGGTCACCTGCAAGTACTTTCTTTGCTCCACAGGCGAGAAAAAAATGGAAAAAGAGACTCACGTGTTTCTGAGGGCCTCTGAGGAACATGAGGGTGGCTTTGAGGGGGGCCCGTCCGGCACTTACCTCCAAGACTTTGCCTGTGATGAACTGGTGGCAGGCTTCACATTTCACCCCGAAGAGCCCCTGGTAGTCCTTTTCGCAGTACGGAGCGCCATCCCTGCAAGACAAAAGCGTGCTCAGCACCCCAGAGCAGGCTGGGGCGGGGGCGCCACCGAAGCCAACTTCTCTGAGCCCTTTTCATAGATACGAGTGGACGGACGGGTTTCCCTCCCACCAGCCTCCCTGTGCCTGGAGATCCGGTCCGACACGAGCAAAACCCACGAAACCAAACAACCCCCAGACAGCGCTGTGGTTCTCCGGGCCCCACAGAAGTGAGAGCCAAATCACCGAAGGGCAGGCAGCCAGGGCCGATGCCCTGGATGTCGGGAGCCCTCGCTAACAAAAACGGGGCGTCGTTCTGCTCTGCCACCGGGCCACGTGGGCTTCAGGCGTGGCCTCACGTTCCTCTTTCTCCGGGGAGGCCCTGACGCCGCCTTCCCCGCCCCATCCCGCCTTGTGCTCAGCCAGCAGCGGACTGAGGGGCCCAGCCTTCTCACGCAAGTGAGAAGTGCTCCTTCCCTTGTCTCAGCGCACCGTGGAAATATCACTGCGTGCGACTGCTGGAAAAGTTAAAGAGCACCACTCCAGCCTTCGGTGTGAGCTGCTGTTCTCACTTTGCCATGCGACCGTATCACTGTGGGGTGTTGCCCAGGGGTGCCGGCTTCTCCCCAGAGCTCCAGAAGCAGATTTTTGCAAGGTGGGGCCCAGACTAGCTATATTCTTAAGTTAAATTCATTTAATTTTTTTTTGACTAGCTGATATATAGACAGGTTGGAAGACATTTTTTGAAGCACAAAAAAAGGTAGACAGGGGAAATTTTCCCCTCATTGCCACTGTCCTCCACCCCATGCTCATTCTTTCTTCCTTAACTCAAAAGGTAACCATTGAACTAGCTTCTCCAGGCCTCATTAAAAAAAACAAAAAACAAACAAAAACAAAGGCAAAAAAAATCCCACATGTTTCATCTACTCTAGCTATTATCCACCCCAGCGTGAGAGTCTCACACAAACCCAGTCCCTGATGAGCTATTTTGTTTATCGGCCCTAATGGGCTCAGTGCCTAGGGCCTGTGTGGTTTTCCCTTTTTTTTTTTTTGGTTGGGGGGTGGTCTAAAAATATATTCAAGACCTGGAAGGAGGACAAAGGTTTGCTAGTGCCAAATAGGGGGAAAAATTTAGCGAAGGTGAAATTACTGAATGCTCCATTGGTTACAACATATGGCATCAGCTTTGTTAATTGTTAAATTAAGCAATGATTAACATCTCATTGCATTTATAGTGGGCAAACTATGGCAAATGTAGGAGAATAAATCTTTGCATGAGTTTTAGAGCCAAAAGCTCCTATGGATCGTGGGGTGTGAGTGTCTCTCATTGTATCTGATGGATTCGAGAGGGGTCCCCAGAGAGGAAGCTAGAGGGGCTCCCCGGGCCCCAGCCTCACTTACTTGCTGATATACTCCCCGGTGAGCACCTTCCCGCAGGCTTTGCATTTAAAGCACCCCAGGTGCCACTGCTTCTCCAGTGCCAGCAGCGCCTGCCCGTTTTTGATGTCTCTTCCGCAGCCAGCACAGTCTGGAAGAAAGCAGCAGCCAGCGGTTACTGCATATTCGTTTGCTGAAGGCAAGCCCACGGGCCAGCTCGGAACCCCTGTGTGCCCTGATCTCACACTCAGTCAATGTTTACTTAAGTGCCATTCCACTCCGCTTCCTCTCCCTGCACGGAGACGAAGGGCCCCACAGGCCCCAGCCGCACACAGCAGCCACTTTCTGGACCACGGTCGATCCAGGGGGGATGGAGGTCCTTTGTCTGTCTGTTTCCTTGGAGGTCATTTCAACACCCTGCGTGCTCCAGCTGGCCCGGAGAGTATTTAATTACAGTGTCTTGGCCGTGACTTTCGGAGGGCTCCCACGCGCCTTTATTCAGTGGGGACAGGAGAGTTGTGGGGCCCCTCAAGCCGGACACCTCGCTTGACATGATACATGGGACCCCTGGACCTCGACTCACAACTCCCATCCTTGGAAACAGGACTCTGCTTCTTGCCACCCTAAACCAGACCTTCTGAGATGTGTCATCATCAGTTAAATGGCTCTTCACTCCGTAGCTTTAAATTCTCCTGGGCAGACTCCCATGAGTCAGATAAAGGAGACAGCGCTTCTTCACAGTAAAGGGCGTGGGCCCCGGAAGCAGCCAGCTCTGAGTCCAGCTCAGGTCCCTGCTGGCTAGTCACGTGGTCCAGGCTGGTTCTCCTGCTTTCTGTTTCCTCATCTGGAAGCCGGGATGCTATTAGTGCTATGCTCAAGCTCCGCTGAGGATTCAGTGGATCAATGCAGCGTTCCCCAACCCTTTTGGCACCAGGGACCGGTTTCATGGAAGACAAGTGTTCAACCGGGGGTCAGGGGGGAGGTGTGGATTTATAGCCTGCCACCAGATGCAGCTTAATTGTCACTTGCCACTCACGGACAGGTTTCGGAATGAGTCTGCAAGCCATTAATTTATCCTGGTCTGTAGGCAGCCCAACCTCTCTGCTAATGATCATCTGTGTTTGCAGCCGATCCCCAGCATTAGCATTGTCACCTCAGCTCCAGCTCAGGCCATCGGGTGTTAGGTTCTCGTAAGGAGCCCACGACCTAGATCCCTTGCATGCGCAGTTCACAGAAGGGTTCAAGCTCCTATGAGCATCTAATGCCACGTGTGATAGGAGGCGGGGCTCAGGCAGAAAGGTGAGCAATGGGGAGCGGCTGTAAATACAGGCGAAGCTTTGCTCGCTCACCTGCCGCTCACCTTCCACTGTGCGGTCTGGCTCCTACCAGGTCGCAGACTGGTACTGGCCCATGGCCCAGGGGCTGGGGACCCCTGAACTCATGGCTTCAGCGTAGTGGCTAGCATGCACAAAGTGGCTCTATAAACATTTGCTCTTATTGTAATTTCCATTGTTATTCTGATTATAAAATCATGTTTAGGGAAATTGAGCCTTTAAAAGAGTCCAGAAGAACCTTAAGTGGTGCCACCTTTGTTTTTCTTCAATATTTTATTTATTTATTTTGAGAGAGAGGGGAAGAGAGGAAGAAAGAGACAGAGAGAAACATCGATGTACAAGAGAAACATTGATCGGTAGGGACCTGGCCTGCAACTGTAACCTGGCCATGTGCCCTGACTGGGAATCGAACTAGAGACTTTTTGGTTTGCGGAATAATGCCCAACCCACTGAGTCACAGGAGTCAGGGCACTGCAGCCTTTTAAAAGGCCACTTAAACATCTACAAATGTCTAAAACTGGTGTACCCAAGGAAGTGGAAGAAAGCACTGTCGTCCCCAGCTGATCGTAGAAAGCACTCGCGGAATAAAGCAATGTCCACACCAGGCCACTGGGAACCCAAAATGTGGTCTTCTGACCACATCCGTGACGGCAACTCATTTACTAATGATACTTCCAACCCACTTTAATTTTCTCCTCTTAGAAAAACCGACCTGCCCCCGCTTCTCGACAACGCCCAGGCCAGAGCTGCTCCCGCCACCTGGAGCCCTCCCTAACGTCACCCGCACAAGCCCGGGCCCTACGGCAGCGCCCCCAGGCACCACACACAGGGGCTGGTGGCCGCCCTTACCTAAGGCAACCGGATTTTTCTTTTTTTTAAACTACAGATGGTTTCTGGTGACCTCTGGTCAGTGGGTATTAACATGAGTTTAGACCTAGCAATTTCACATCTAAGATTTTATTCTACAAATGAAGTTTGTAAAAGTGTGTGTATGTATGTGTGTTCCCTGAAGAATATACATGCATCCCCCAAAGCATTTTTGTAACTCAGCTGAAAATAGCCTATACAAACCTTAATGAGGGACTAGTAAATTAGTTTACTATAGTTGATAATGGAAAACTATGTGCTGTTAAAAAGAATGAGGTAGATTTGTTTGTGGACATGGAAAGATGTCCAAGTATATGTGTGTTTGCGCATGCTTGTGTATGAACGGAACATTTCTTTAAAAGAAAAACGTAAGAATTCTGCTCTGGCTGGAGCGACTCATTGGTTGGAGCACTGTCCTGTAACCGAAAGATTGTAGGTTCAATCCCCAGCCAGTCCAGGTGCCTATGATCCTTGGCTGGGCGTGTAGGAGGAGACCTACTGGTGTTTCTCTCTTCCTCTCTCTAAAGGCAATGACAAAAACGTCCGTGGGGTGAGGATAAGAAAAAAAAAAAGAACTCTGAAGATACCTCCCTCTGTGAAAGAGGACTTTACTTTTTACTTCACATCCTCTGTGCTGTTTAATATTTTTTGCCATATGAATGTAAATAAATGAGTAAATAAATATTTATAAAGTTGAAAACATCTTCTATATAAGTTAAAAATATTATAGATTTGAATTGCTTCATGTATAGCCCATAATAAGCTGAGTGTGTATCATATGCTCATAAAGTATTTACACATATATTTTTTAAAGCTGGGGTTTATGTGCATCCCAGCATCTCACCAACAATCCCAACTAGATGGGATCTCACATCTAGTAGTTTACTTTAAAGATAAAATGGAAGACCATAACATGCGTTCATAAGTATACGTTTTAAAGGTTGGAACCTTGTGTGTATGTGAAATGAATTGACAGATTTTAATCCAACTCGAAACTCAAAAATTTTTCTTTATGAGTCTGATTACAGCATGACCAGTAGGTGGCAGTAAAAATTTAAAATAACAAGGAAGATGGTAGTTGGTAAAATATTTTGAAGTAGAAAATAAACTTGAGAGATGGCTTTCAACTCTGCACCTGCAGACAGCTGGGCCCTGAGTGGCTTGCAGAGCTATGTGAGGCCTCCCCCGCACCAAGGTGAGGTCTGGGGAGATGGAAGGCGCGTGGACAGTGAGGATGTGGGCTATGGGGTTGGGAAGATCTGGATGCTAACTTGGGTAAATCACTCTCTCTGGACTCGCACTTGCTCATCTGTGAAACGCTGACCTACTTCCTAGACTGCTGTGAGAGGAGAGACCCTGCGCCGTAAAGTGCTTCGCTAGCACTCAGACACCTGGCCCATGCTGGGCATTCAGTGCGGTTCCCCTTCCCTTGGAAGGGGCGGGACTGGGGCGAAAGACCAGGTTTCCTGACGCAAAGCCTTGCTCTCTCCGCAAGCACCCATATGCCCAGATGCCCCAGAGCTCTGACAGCAGCTGAGACAGTCGGAGGGCAGCAACAGCCTCTCTGGTCGTTCTGCACGGAGGGCTTCTGATGGACCGGGCACCGTGTGAGGGCATTACAGATGTGCTACCATTTATTCTCCACAGTCATTTAGTCACAGTGCCTGGCAGTCGGGAAGCTTTGGACGCATGGGTGGTGACCTGGACTTCTCCGATCCTCCGGGCCCTGCAGTGTCCCCGGAGGGCAGCTGTTCCGTAACTGATTTTGATGATGGTTTAGAGAGAAGCATTCACTGAATGGCGACCACCTAGAGCCAGCCAGCAGGTGAGGCTGGGCTGGAAGGAGAGACTGTGATGGGCCTCTGCACCCCAAATCTTAAAACGCAAATCCAGCAAATCAGCAAAGACCACCTCCTAGAATGGAGTGTGCTGGCCCACACCAGCTGATGCAAAGTATTCCGGTGCGTTCCACAGGGGCTGCCCACTCACTCCTCTCCGGACAAAACCATACTCTCCACTTACGCCTGACGTTCTGGGGCAAGGGGAAAAGAGCTGCAGAGACAAAAAGACTCGGCTGGACCGTTCACCCCTTCCGTGCTCACTCCGGCTGAGCCCCTTTGTTCAGGACAACACATCCCACTCTCCGTCTTCATGTTTTCAGCTGTTGAGAACATTGTTTCCACACCACTGAAGCAGCTGCTGGTAAATATAGAAAGCTGGTGATTGGCACTGGAATTATCACTGAAGTCAGAAAGAGGTGACTGTGGGGCAAGCGTCAAGGAAATCAACTTCGCTGGCAAAGGACAGAGAGTCACCAAATGTGAGAAAAGAAAAAGCCAACCGCAGCCTTCGACGCTCCACCCCCAGCCTCTCGTTCTCAACACGAGGAGTGGAGTCAAACCAACAGCCCCGTGCACGCCTGGCTGCATGTGTCTATCATTCTGTCTGAAAGCAATAAAGAGCCCTGGTCACAGGGACTCTGCCTGTCTCCTTTGAATGATTCTTTTTTTTTTTTTTTTGCATAGAGCCATGGATTCATGGGCTTCCAAATTATTTAAGCTGAAGAAAGTGACACATGGTCCTCGGGAAGGAAACCAGGGTTTCCAAGTTAAGAAAGATGTCATCGGTTGGGCGGCACTTAGGTCCCGTCCACCTGAATACCTCTGTGTTCCTTGAGAACTATTACTGCCTTCTTAGAATTTCCCATCTGGGAAGAGTAAGGGCCCAAAAGCTGTCTTCTTCTACGAAGCTGTCTCTCTGGAGAAGGTGGCTGGGGACCTGGAACTCTGGGGAAGGTCCCGTGTGGTTACTAAATTCCCATGCATCTCCATCTTCCCAGGCCTGCGTGCTTCACTCATACCTAGAACCACGAGTGAAGGTGGAAATCATCCTTCAGAGCAGCTACCCGGCTGTGATCAAAGCTGCCAGAATAGGAAAGGAGACTTTTCCT